TCGTATGTTATAAGTTTTGTATCGAAAAAATCAACTTGTCTTCCGCCCACCCAAGAACGTCACGAAAGAACGAACGTCATAATAAATTAGTCATCTGGGGATATTCCCTGAAAATAACGTGGGTGGACCATGGACCGGTGCCAGGACTAGTACAAATAAACACAGAGAGTGAGAAAGGCATACTTACCAAAACTCAATCGAACGGCGATGGAATGGGTCCTGATAATTAGGCAAGAGAGGTTGGAACGTGGCCAAGTCGAGCAGCAGACTGAAGACCAGGTTGCCGGGGTCTCGTATATATACATCACGTTACGGGTAAGACGATATTCTCGTACGACATTTGATCGCACCCTTTTTCACCAACTAGTAATTGGTAGGCTTTTAAATTACCTGTTTAAAAAGTAATACTCTTTATAACGATTAGTTTCAAGGGACGTTCTCAGTCACCTCCTTTCTTTACCTCTCGCACTTCTCATTTTAATATGGCAATTTTGATTGGACGCACAAAGGATGTGTTATTTCTCACCAAACGTATCTTTTTCACATCAGCATCGCAGCGCCGTACTCTAAATATTTCTAATTTCCCCACCAATATGTTTGATCTTTGTCTTTGTTTTTTTTAAAGGCCGGTCTAATACACGATATTTTTTTTATTGTAGCCGGTGCAAAAAAGGAATCCCATTAAGGTATCCAGTAACGGAGAGTCACATTGTTAGCTTCTGAACCGCCGTCGTAGGAAACATGTCGCAAATATTCTTACACCTCGGTGGAACTATGGTTTTTTGATGCGTGGCGGTGGGGCATATCTACCGACTATGTATACGATGCAGGTGGCGATAGATGGGGTTGAGCATGAACAACCCCATATGAACATCGATACCAGCTTACCATGCTCTGTCGGTTAAAAAACAGTGCGACCTACTCATTGAACGAACATAGATCACAGTATGCGTAGAAAATATACACGTATTTTTACTATTCTAAAGATTGTATTAAATATAACACCGTGACATCCTAATTCCATCACGACACAGACGAATGGTGATGACCTCCTCGGCTGAATTATACAGAAAATCGGTAGAGGATAAATGACCAGATCAGTTTCCAAAATAATTTACTTTAGACGTGACCTTGTGAAGATTATGTGATTACAAAATCAGTAGAATGCGTGAGCGATTTCGTTAAGATGATATAGTACCTCACACAAAGATTATGGATATAAAAATATACTAATTTATTCTTCGTCAGTAACTCATCACTATTTTTGCTTCTTTGAATTGATTTACTTCTATTTTGTCTATGTCGTCGCTCATAATTTCATGTAAACAAACTGTATGTGTTGTTTAGGTCGCATGGGTCACTTTTAAGATGTAAAATAAGATGTAGACAGTTGTGCATATTACGTTTCAATTATTTCATCCACAGACGAGCAACCAATTATAATCGGTTTGTTAACGTTAGAAGGGTCTATAATAAACATTACGGAAATAATTCGCCTCACGAAAAATAGGAACGCATAAAAAAATGCTTCTAACACACATTGTTCACGGTGAACTGTAGTGTAGGGCGCAATAATACACATGGTATCTGAAAACGCAGGAAGTTATTCGTTTCATATATTTGTGTCTTGGTCGTGGTAGCACGTACTCGACCGACATACATGTCTAGCGGCAGACTTACAAGCTTAATTGGTGCTAGTGATATTCACCACAGAGTTGTATTAAGTAGACAGTTAAACTACCTGAGCAGAGTCACACTCGGGTGACTTCCATTCACTGAGTATGTTTATTTATGGTTTCCACATTGTATACAAAAAGTACTCCAATATGTCGATCAAATGGTAGACCGAAGCGAGAGGATTCCAAGCTTGCAGGCCTTGACCGTTGACGACTCACAATTTGACTGTAAGTCGCCGCGACATAGTTGTATTGTATTGTGCACACAATTCACCTTTAATTCGTACATTGTTAACAAGCTTTTAGGGATAGGAAGAAACTGGAGTTTAATAAAAAAAATTCCATTTGTGGGAAAATTCTGTCTGCAGGTCATTTGCGAATTCCTTATACCACTACGATAAAGACATTGTGAAATTCTTTCGTTTTGCAGGGAAACCCTAAAAACAAAGCAACTGATTTTGAAAAGAAAATTCAGAAAAATTCATTAAGAATATTTTATAACGAAATGTATTCCATATGCACACGATGATAATTTTCATCATTACCGATTACAGAAAAAAGATAATTCGCTATATTCTAAATATTTTTGCTTCTTATTAAAAAGCTGAATGAAATTCTAAACTATGTAACACCTCACGTGTAAATAATAACTTAATAAATAAATACTGTATTTTCAATGCAGAAAAAGAAAAGTCTCCATCGTAGTTTTATATATTTCGGTGTGTCCCCTATTACCACTTTTCTTTCCTTGCCAAAAAACACACAAAGTAGACGTGAAGGAAGCTGTGGTCTCGAGATTTGTCAATAATGTCAACCTAAAACTAATGTTCGTTTGGAACGCTCCTTGTGATGATAGTCTGTGTAGTAATTAATTAAATTAAATTGAATTAGGTTTTCAATGGATCTACTATGTGATTGACATGTCGCGCCTTATATATTAATGTTGTGCGGTAACTCGAAGAGCGTAATTGTCGACTGTGCTGTCG